AAATCTAAAATGCTGATCATCGCAGATGGAGGAACTTTTTGTTGTCAGTTTTGTAAAGAGTGAATAAAAGATACACATAGGAATTCTCTAATATTTAGATATTGAGAAACTACTGTATTGCTCAAATCGGAATTGCCAAATCCTACTTCTGTATCTGTCCTAGATTACTCCTAATAAATAAGATTCGCTCTATTTTCTTTCACATGCCGTAGACATAGCATATGTTACGAATACATTCTATATTATCCCCAACATTCATGCTACCTCTGCATGACTTAGAGGCGGGCGATACTGCGACTGTTCTTATTCTGACTGACCAAATGGTTTGTCGCCGCGTGAGCTGAGTTGTTCTGAAACCAACTCGTTTCTTTCTGATATCGTTAATATCACTTTCATAGACATTATTTGGCACATTTGTTTTTTGTCATATTGATGATGATATGATTGTGATGTATACCATTGCTGCACTTTATACACTTTGATTTATGCTATTACCATAGTCATTAAAGAAATGAGCATAGGCTATATAATCATATTTCTGATGAATTTATTTACATAGAGTAACATATATCGTGGAAAAGATATCGGTGTTTTTTTTCTTATTCATGCTAGAACTCTATGACAAAGCGTAGCCCAGAATTCATAAAAAAATAAAACCAGTGCTATATACATATTTGAAACTTTCTTGTGATACCTCGCCTATCAACCCCTTCCCAATAGGAGTAGGTTTATGATAATCAACATGATTAATAAAGGGTACAATACCTACATCTGGTGTAGATTTTAATGTAAATAAAAGTTAGTTTGAGTGTCTTGGTCTGTGTGTGCGTATGAAAATCTGTAGATGGGTGTGAATGTGTAGTTGTATATATGTGTGCTATGTTTACTGTCTGTGTTTGTGTATTAGTGTTCATGTAAGTGTGCATGTTTGTGATTATATATATATATATATATATATATATATATATATATATATATATACATATATATATATATATATATATATGTATATATATATATATATATATATATATATATATATATATATATATATATATATATATATATATATGTATATATATATATATATATATATATATATATATATATATATATATATATATATATATATATATATATCCTTGTGTTTGTTCATAAGTGTGTGTTTAATTTTGTGCATTTGTACAAGTAAAACAAAGTAATTCCGAAATAAGATTTATTTAGTATTCAAGAAATAAAGCATCCTATAATTAACTATTTTAATTGCTACTTCTCTTTTCGGTATCAATATTACCGACAGTGTGTCTCCTTATTGCCGATTCAGTAATAATCATTGTATTTTGTACATCTTATGCACGAGACCTACTTTGATGCCCGAGACCTATATAAGAAAATATGTTTAATGTGACAACATACGTTTGCCATTATGCATCACATATGTAGTCTTTATTGAGGAGGTACATGAGGGCCAAGATTCTCCATTAGACGGGAGATGGAAACCTCTCTGTGCATGTTGTGAACGTCTCTATGCATGCTTGTATAATCCCTTTGCATGGCAACGGCGTCAACACGATCCTCCCTCTCCTCCAGCTCCTGCTGAGCTTTCCTGAACTTTGCAAGGTTCAGAGCGGCGATCTCTTCTGCCTCCTCGATCTGTCGCTTGTACGTCTTCACCTTCTGCTGCAGTTTGTCAACGAGATCCTGCATCCTTTCGTGATTCTTTTTGTCCTCATCGGACTGGAAGCCGAGTTCCTTGATGCGTCGCTCGCACTTTCTTAGCGTCTTCTGCGCCTCGACGTGGTGAGTAGACTCCCTTTCCAGCTGAGCCTCCAGCTCTCTCACGCGGCTCTCCAGCTTCTCAATCGTCTGCTTGCTAGTCTTGTGAGCGAAGTTTTCTGTTTCTTCGAGGCGAACTTGTAGTTCCTTTACGGCGACTTCTGCGACCTTGCGCATCTTCTCCTGGGCCTGAGCGTGCTCTTGCTCGGAGCGAAGTTCGTCGGCGAGGCGGGCGGCGTCGATCATGGCCTTCTTGGCCTTCTCCTCGCAGTGCTTCGTTTCGCTCATCATCTCGTCGAGGTCAGCCTGTTGGGGGAAGTCATAAGCATTATGAATATAGAGAATACACACACGCACACAGACGTACGCACACACGCACGCACACACACACACTAACACACACACACGCACATACGCACACACACACACACACACACACACACACGTACACACACATACACACATACACTAACACACACACACACACACGCACACACACACACACACACACACACACACACACACACACACACACACACACGCACACACACACACACACATGTGTGTGTGTGTGTGTGACTGCAGACACGTTTTAAATATCTTCTTATAACACTCTTTATTTACCGAATGCCTAGGATTATGACAAAACAAAACTTTCTTGACTTGCCTGAACAGTCTGCAACTCGCTTTCCAGTTTCCTCTTGAACAGACTGAGGTTGCCATTTTGCGTTGAAAGTTCCCCGATGCGTTCCTGCGCGTCCGAAAGGTCAGCCTCGGCCTGGCGGCGACTGCGGTCGGACTGTTCGAGTAGGGTGCGTGTCTCCTCGAGCTCACTCACGAGGGCGTTGGCGCGGCGCTCGGCGATGCTGTACTGTTCGCGATATTCGGACGACTGTCGCTGCTCCTCCTCGATCGCCAGGGACAGTTCTCTCAACTCGTTCTGCATTTTCTTGACGTGCTTTTGCAGGTCAGAGATCGCCTTATTTGAGTGCTCCAATGCAAGTTCCGTCTCGTTGATGTCGGATTCAAGTTTCTTCCTGATGCGAACAGCTTCCGCCTTGCCCTTCGCCTCAGCCTCAAGGGATGCTTGCAAAGAGTCCAGTGCTCGCTGGTGACATTTCCTGTGCACGAGTAAAAGGGAAACGTTTAGGAAGGATATATTTAAACTATGCAGTCCTATCATGTGGGTACATTTTTGTATTATGATGAAAAATTGTTTCATACTTACCGTGTGTTATCGAATTCTTCCTCCTTCTCTTGGATGCGTCTCTCGATCTCCTGTCTGACTTGGCTCAATTCCAGCTGACTCCGAAGAACCTTATTTTCTTCCTGCTCAAGGGCAGCTTCGGCTTCTTCAAGTGCAGACTGTAGTTCTTCTTTTTCAATTTCAAATCTTTTTGCCGTTTTCTGAACTTCGTGGAGAGAACGTCCGCCCTCGCCGATTTGATCCATCAAGTCCTTGATTTCGTCGGAGAGGTTCTTGTTCTCGCGGCGAATGGTGTCATTCTGGTCGAGGCTCTCTTCATAGGCGGCCTTCACGCGGAACAGCTCGGTGGAGTAGTTGCGGCACTCCTTCTGGGAAGCATCGAGCTCGGCTCCGAGATCGTCAACCTTCGTCTTCCATTCGCCTATAATTTTGTCAAAGTTTTTCTGACGCTTTTCGGCAGTGCTCGCCAGTGTCTGCGCGCGTTCGAGGGCGATCTGCATGCTTTCGACATCCGCGGAGGCCCGTTCTCTCAGTTTTTCAAGATTGACATTTCTGATGTTGAGCTGTTCAATCTGGTTCTCCGCTTCCTCTAGTCGCGCCGCGAGCTTAGAGCGCGAAGCCTCGAGCTCCTCCACGCGGACGACGCCCTCCGACTCATACTTGGAGCGCCACATCAGGACGTCCCCGTTGGCCTTGGACAGCAGGCGCAGGAGGTCAGCCTTGGCGTCGCTCTCCTCCTGCAGCTGTTCCCGAAGGCCGTCGACGTCGTGCTCGAGGTTGCGGAACTTGCCTAGCAGCGTAGTGCGCTCCTAGAGAAGAATTTGAACACATTCTTTAGACGCCCCAAAATATAAAAAATGCCGTGATGAAATAAAAATCATAGTAGTGGTAATGATAGTGAGAGTAAAAGGAATATCAACAATAATAATAATGAGAACAATAGTAACAATGATAATGACATTCATGAAAATACAGGTGTGTGTGTTTGTTTGTAAATATATATATATATATATATATATATATATATATATATATATATATATATATATATATATATATATATATATATATATGTATATATATATACATATATATAAACATATATATGTATATATATGTATATATATATATATATATATATATATATATATATATATATATATATATATATATATATATATATATATATATATATACATACATATATATATATATATATATATACATATATATATATATATATATATATATATATATATATATATATATATATATATATATATATATTTATATATAAACATATACACACACACACACACACACACACATATATATATATATATATATATATATATATATATATATATATATATATATATATATATATATATATATATATATATATATATATGCATATGCGTATGTATATATATATATATATATATATATATATATATATATATATATATATATATATACATATATATATATATATATATATATATATATATATATATATATATATATATATATACATACACACGTACATATATATATATATATATATATATATATATATATATATATATATATATATATATATATATATATATATATATATATATATATATTTATCTCTCTCTCTCTCTCTCTCTCTCTCTCTCTCTCTCTCTCTCTCTCTCTCTCTCTCTCTATATATATATATATATATATATATATATATATATATACATATTTATCTCTCTCTCTCTCTCTCTCTCTCTCTCTCTCTCTCTCTCTATATCTATATATATATATATATATATATATATATATATATATACATATATATATATATATATATATATATATATATATATATATATATATATATATATATATATGTGTGTGTGTATGTTTGTGTATGTGTGTGTGTGATGTGTGTGTGTGTGTATGTATATATATATATATATATATATATATATATATATATATATATATATATATATATACATACACATACACACACACACACACACACACACACACACTCACACACACACACACACACACACACATATATATATATATATATATATATATATATATATATATATATATATATATATATATATATACATATATATATATACACACGCATATATGTGCATGCTGTATACAAACGCCACTTCGCCAAAGTGATGCTGAAATGCATCTGCGC